GCTTAACCCTTGTGTGGTGTTCATATTGTTGTTACTCAGCCAGTGTTTGTGGGTCTGATGGAGCTGTTGCATTTTTTGGCTTTTAATGCCTCAAAATCAAACACTTTTATATTAAAATACTGAACAGATGTTTACCGTATCTTAACTTCTCTCTCTCTCATCCAAAATCAATTCCAGGGCCTCTGTGCAGAGAAAATTTCGGCCATCTTGATCGGTTATAAGAAACCACTGTATGGAAACTGTTTATTTTGTGCTTGTGCACCTGGGGTTCCCACACAAGGTTGCAACATTGTGAGTGCGTGTTTGTGTGTGTGTGTGTGTGTGTGTGTGTGGTTCACAGAACATCAATTTCCACACTTCTTTTAGTGTAGTGTTCCAGTGGACCCGGACATCTTATATGTAATAGTGTAAATGTGTAGGGGGGTGTACGGTGTGTGGGCATTAAATATGTTTTCTGATATATGTTCTTCACAGAAAATGAGCCAAAGCCGGTGAGTCTCAGTTTGAAATATTAATTCATTGTATCATTTTTCTTTTAGTAAAAAATGAAAACGGGTCCCACAGACCTGAACACCACACAAGGGTTAAATGAGAGTTTTTCTGAATCTGAAGCTCCAGGAATCAAACCTGCCGACTATCAGTTTATCTCAGCTTCTTTCTGTCGACTCTCCAGGTTTCCACGGCAACGTCCTGTTCGGGAACCTTCCTGATTTCTTTGTGATCTTCTTTTATTTTCCTTGTTGTTGACGAGCAGAGTTTTATTTGAAGTTTAGCTGCTGTGTTTTCTATGTTGGCTCTTGTTTGTTTCATGTCTCCAGAGTGGAGGAACACATTAAAGTCTGCCGTCTCACTTTTCCGACTCACGACAAATTATTCTCTTTTTGTGGAAATAAATTAAAAAATACATTTATTTTACAAATAAAAATGTACAATTATCTAAAGAAATAAATACTTAATGTTTTAAGAAATGAAACAAACTTTAAACAGAAGAGCACCGAAGAGTCGTGTTGCTCTGTTTTGGTTAAAAAAACTAAACTGAGCGGTTTCTAGCCCCGGTTGTCGAGGACGACGCGGCCATCTTTGTCTTTGATCCGCAGGCGGCCGGTGGGGTATCGGGTCTCCTGCCGGCCGTCGGAGAACACGGTTTTCACCGTGCCGTCGGGGTACTCCCGCCGCTTGTATTCGGCCGTGTGGACCTCCCTCTGACCCGTGTTGAAGTGGATCTCTTTGGAGCCATCCCTAAGAGAAACACAACCCGGTTAACCCTGTAATAACAAACGTATCATGTCTGATTCATACGGTTTCTGAAGTCTTTTGGATCTGAGACTTTTTGCATCATTCAGTGGTAAATGCTTTGCTAAAACCCCTGTTGTACACATTCAGATATACCTGATAACAGCCAGTAGAAGACTACACCAACATATATTTTTGACTTATTGCACGCTAATTTGATCAAAATAATTTCAGTTTTTTTTTCTTCATATGTTGTTGAGGGGCCAAAGAAAGACCAGACTAAAAAAATCCAACATTCTTCCTATTTTTCTTGGATCAGGCTTTAAAGGGTTAAACCTAGACATTAATTTTCTGCTCATAACCCAGAACCTGACTCACCTCAGCACAAAAATCTACATATCCTGATCCAAAGGCATTCATCCAGACTTTCTGATTAAACTTTAGATTAAACTTTAAATCATAAAGTGAAGTTACCATGGAAACGCAGACACACAACATCTTTTTTTTCTTCATATGTTGTTGAGGGGCCAAAGAAAGACTTCAGACTAAAAAAAACAATACTCTATAATATTTTTCTTGGATCAGGCTTTAAAGTGTTAAGCCCTTTTTAGTGGCTCCTATTAAAACCAGAGCTTTGTTTTTTCTGAGGTGGAGAAAGTTAAAGTTATTTATCTACTTACTTAGTTGTCAGACTCATGTTGAAAAGGAATTTACTCTTCTAACAACTGACCATCTGAATTAGGGGAGTTTGAATAATACACAATGGTTAAGAGACACTGACTTCTTTATTCAGGGAGAAACACAAAATGGGATCAAACAATCCCACACAACTGACATTTTTACCAATAGCTTCAAGTTAACATGGCCGTCTTAATGGTTAGGACACAGACCTGTGGGTCAGGAGATGCTAATGCTAATGCTAATTTTTTGCAAATATCAGCAACCGATCTAATCCAGATATGGGATCAGGATCAGCCTAGAGTGGGACCTTCTGCCCACGTCCAGAGGGGCTGTGGGATGCTAAGTACTCACGGGTTGACCTGTATGATGGTGCCGTCGGTCAGCACGCTCTCCTCCCTGCCGTCGGGGAACAGGTTCTTCACCGTCTGGTCGGGGAAAGTTATCTCCTTTCGCCCGTCCGGGAAATGTTTTTCTGGGGGAGAAATGGGACGAAGAATGTGAGAGGTTTTTAAAACAATCTGCACCGGATTTATTTTGAAAAAGGCCTCTGATCAGAGTGGGGTTTTCTAGTGAAAAGTGGAATAAAACTCTTGGGTAAAACAGGCTTTTTGTGGTAACTGGAACTAGGCTTGTCCCAAACCGATATCTGGATTGGATCAGCCGCCAATATTTGCAAAAAAATGCGTATTGGTCGACAGGAGAAAATGCAGATCCAGATCCAGTTTTTTTTTAAGTCTGATCCCACATTAGCATTAGCATCTCCTGACCCACAGGTCTGTGTCCCAACCACTAAGTTGTTATCAGAGTAAATCCCTGTTCAACATGAGTCTGACAACTAAGTAAGTAGATAAATAACTTTAAACTTCAACACATGCTCTGATAGGCTGGGATTAGAAGTGCAAAAAGCTGGATCGGGACATCCCTAACTGGAACAAAACTCAAAGTCTGGACAGGTGCAAACGGAGGAACTGTCTCACCTGTCTGGCCGTTGGGGAAGTGCAGGACCTCCATGGCGTCGGGGTAGGTGATGTGGGTGGTCTGGGCCTGGGCGTAGTAATAAATCTGAGCACAGGGAGCAGAGCTCAGGTTAGATCAGATCATGGATCATTAATGGAAAACAAACTACAACCTAATTAGAATCTTCCTTCCATCCCAAAATGAAATGGCTTTACTGGGATTACAGAAATTGCCTGTTCATACCAGCCGAATTAGCATAATTTAAGAACAAATCTCTACATCTGCAACTCCAGGAGGAAGAAAACTCCTTCAGATCTCTGCCTAAAGGGAAAATTCAGGGTTTTTTCGGATATCTGAAGCCAGATTCAGCTTCCATCACACAGAAAATATCCTTCTCTGTGCTACTCTGCTGGGTTACATTCAGCATAAATCTGCCTTCTAAAGTTTAAAACAATTATTTTATTAAATGTTTTCTTATTTTATAGATTACCGGTAATTAAAATACATATATCAATTTTATAAAACATAAAGCATGAAAATGTTCATTGTCACTGCCTTCTAAAATTTAAAACAATTATTTAATTAAATGTTTACTTAGTTTAGAGATTACCGGTAATTTAAATACATATTTAAATTTTTAAAAACAAAGTATGAACATTTTCATTGTCACTGTGTTCTAAAATTTAAAACAATTATTTTATTAAATGTTTACTTATTTTAGAGATTATCGGCAATTAAAATACATATTTAAATTTTTAAAAACATAATAAAGCATAAAAATGTTAATCGTCACTGCCTTCTAAAATTTAAAACAATTATTTTATTAAATGTTTACTTATTTTAGAGATTACCGGTAATTAAAATACATATTTAAATTTTTTAAAACATAAAGCATGAAAATGTTCATTGTCAGTGCTTTCTAAAATTTAAAACAATTATTTTATCAAATTTTTCCTTATTTTAAAGATAAAAAAAAGATGTATTAAAACACATATTTATTACATATTTAAATTTTACATATTTTAATCTTTTTAAACATAAAGCATGAAAATGTTAATTGTCACTGCCTTCTAAAACAATTATTTTATTAAATGTTTACTTATTTTACAGATTAAAATAAGATGTATTAAAATACATATTTATCACATTTAAATTTGACATATTTAAATTTTTTAAAACATAAAGCATGCAAATGTTAATTGTCACTGCCTTCTAAAATTTAAAACAACTATTCTATTCAATTTCTACTTATTTGAGAGATTACCAGCAATTTAAATACATATTTAAACATTTTTAAACATAATAAAGCATGAAAACGTTGGTTGTTGGAGGGTTTTCCTGCTGTTCTCACCACTCGCTGGTCGGCTGTGACTTGTTTGGTGTCTCCGTTGAAGAATGTGACTTTAGCCGAGAGCCCGTCTGCTGAGACCTCCTTCCTGGTCCCGTTGGGGAAGGTGATGAGGCGGTCGCCGTTGGCCAGAACCGTCTCCGTCTGCAACCAAAAAAAAACGTCCCGGTTAAAAACCCGTCAGAGTTTCAGTACCACTGAACACATTTAGCTCTGGCTGGAACTCCATCTGTTGTCTCTACATTGACCAGCTGGTAATGATCCCTATTTAGGGGCACGTTTTATTTAGCTTTAGTGTGTAGGGTTGTCACGATACTAACATTTTCAACTGGAAAATATTCGATACTCGATACCATTTTCTATACCACAAGGATAAAAACAAAGACACCAAAATTGAACTGAATTTTGACAGGTTAGTGTCTTTTGTTTCAAACTGACCTGTTATTGATATTGGTTATGGTGGCCCACATTAATGACCCTAACCCTAACCCTCCACCCTTCATAATTGTGAGAAATAAATATTTTTTTGGTTAAACTTGTTTGGATTTATTGTACAAACCTATTTAACATCCACTATTTTAACATAATATTATGTATAGAGTTTAATTCAGTGTTTGCACGATTAATATCACTATTTTTAAATTAATGTCTATATTGCCATGAAGCAATTAGGATTTTCTTGCCTGGGATCTTCCTATTGGTGACCTAATCAAAATGGCCGACTTGGATGTGGGCAGAGTCGGATATCCATCCTTGGATTCCTGTATCGATACTTTTTGAGTATCAATACTTTTGACAACCCTATTAGTGTATTTTTGCTGCTTATTTCTGCTGAACCTGACCAAGACATTCTTAAAAAGTGGATTCTGAACTTTAGAAGTTGCATTTCCTGGTTAAATAAAGCTCGTTGGGAGTGAGCTGATGAGCCGGTGATTTTCCCGCTCACCTTCCCGTCGGGGTGTGTGAGCACCTCCTGTCCCGGCTCCTCCAGGTCGCTGCTCTCCGCTCCCAGTGGACGCTGATCCGGTTTCTGTAAACAAATACGACGGAGACCTGTGAGTCTAAAGGCGACGAGTGGGTTTAAAAGCACTGAAACGGGTCAAATTGACTCGTAACATAATATAAGGGTTAAAACACACAATTATGTATAGAGTTTAATTCAGTGTTTGCAAGATTAATCTCACTATTTTTAATTAATGTCTATATTGCCATGAAGCAATTACCATAACGTATGTTTATTGCAACATTTTTGTATTTGGGGAATGATTGTAATGGCCACTGTCACGTGAACGATGTTTTAAACAAAAAACCAAAAAACGTCAGCAAAAATAACGTGAATGCAGTTTTTATGCTGTGTTAAAAACTTTCTAAAGTTTTCCCTTGATATTTTTACTTTCACTGCACCAAACTGCTGGCAGGTCGATGATATGGGATCTTCCAAGGGGTGATGTAATCAAAATGGCCGAGTTGTGGGATGATGTAATCAAAATAGCCGACTTGGATATGGGCGGAGTTGGGGGATGATGTAATCAAAATGGCCGACTTGGATATGGGCGGAGTTGGGATGGTGACGTAATCAAAATGTCCAGAGTTGGGGGATGATGCAATCAAAATGGACGACTTGGATATGTATGTAAGCCTCTTACCGGAGACCCGTCCTGGGGGCGGCGGTCTGGAGGCTTTTCCTGGGTTTTGCTGGCTGGTTCCGGCCTCTCCGTCCTCCTCCCAGACCCAGAAGACCCAGATCTCCTCAGGCTGCTTTTACTTTCTGCTGATCATCACACAAACGGTGAAAAGTTATGAAGAAAAAGCCAAGAGGACTCAAAATTTGATCTGAATATCTAACACAAACCCTCTAATAAAAAAAGGGTGTTTCTGACAGCTGGGCTCAGAGCAGGGGTCTCAAACTCTGGCCCAAATTACATTTACAACACCAAATGACTACGAGAGCTGACCCCCTGTATTATACTGTACAGACCATTAACCACTCATACTACAACTCCCACAATGCCCTGCTGCTGTTCAGGACCCAGAAACTTCTCTGTGGCAGTAGCTACACACTACAGCTGTCACTGTGCTAAACTTCCCAAAAATGACCAAAAGAAAGGCAGAAAACAGGAGCTTTCTGGACAAGCTCATTTGATTTTGATATTTAATTCAGAAGGCTGCGAATAGAAAAATGTTTTAAAATTTTATTTCATAAATGAATGCCATTGATGTGTTTTTTTATTGGAAATTTGATTTAGCATGTCGCTACTATTAAGTTATATATAATGTAATAAGAGGTGCTTGTTCCATATTAAAAGGTTCATTTGTTCACTCTTGGCCCCCCGGCTTTGTTCAGGTTTTAAATTTTGGCCCACTGGGTTTTTGAGCTTCATTCATCTGTGATGCCTCCAGTCCTCCAGCTTCTCCCAGCCTTCTGAAAGGCGGTTAAACTGTGTGGAAGTGCTCTTAAACTTTGTAAAACTGCTGTCACACATTAGGGATCCTCCGTACCTGAGGGTTCTTTGTGGTTCCCGCTCAGCGGGGGGCTGCAGCTGCCTCCTCTGGAGTCCAGTGGACTCTGGAAAAACACATTTATTCATTATTATTTTAACTTTATCTAACTTTGTTGACAATTACAAAGTGTGAAAAAGAAAAAAGGAGAGGAAAAAACTCAAACAAACACACACAACGTAAACAAAACTATATACTATCCGGATTGGGATATGACTCAAGATGGTAAACAATGTCCCAGATGTTCAATTAGTCACTCCAATGTAAATAATCCACTTTGTCCATTTCCATCTTTAGTCTAATTCTGTGGGTCAAGTCCTCCATGAAATGTATGTCCTTAACAATTTACAGCCGGTCCTCTTTGTCCGGGGGGGTCTTCGTTGTACCATTTTTTGGTCATTTGTTTTTTTTTTTTTACTAGCAGCAATCATGATTTTAAACAGGTACCTGTCAGATTTAAACTAAATATTTCCTGAGACATTTCCCAGATACAACACTGTGAATGTTTTGGGGTATCTAATAGCCATCCCAAATTTTAACCAAACCAGGGCAAAGCCAAAAAACATGAGCACGGTTCATATTCGTCTCCTCACATTTTCCCCAACAGGGTGGGGGCGTATAATGTCTGTTATATTGGAAACAGACATTTTATATAACTGTCCTGAAGCCTTAAATGGAAGGAGGACTGTGCTTTGTTTATGGTGGAGTCATAATTTGGTCCCAGGCCTGGTCTTTATCTCAGCCCCTTACAGCTACAGCTGGGATGTTAATGGTTTGAGCCTAAACATTTAGAAAAGCTGTGATGGGAATGAAAGGCCACGCAGACTCACAGCGAATGTGACTCCTTTGGTCACCGCTGGGACGAAGCTCTCTGCCGTTCTGGGAACGTCTCTGGTTTCCGAGTCCCTCTCTGCCGGGATGGAGCTTTTCTTCAGGGCACTGAGACGCAGCTTTTCCAGCATTCGAATCTTAAAACGATTTGAAATAGAATAAAACATGTGCAAAGAAAGAGAAACGCAGTCAAAATTTAGCAGTTTTCAGCCTTTGGAAACATGATGTGCGTTTACTTTTAAAGAGGAACATTTTTAGGCTTGTCCCGATCAGATATCTGGATCAGATCGGAGAGGAAAAAATTCTGATCCAGCGTCCAGATCCAGTTTTTTTTTTTTTTTAAAGCCCAATCCCACAGGAGCATTAGCATTAGCATCTCCTAACCCACAGGTCTGTGTCCTAACCATTAAGTTGTTATCAGAGTAAATCCCTGTTCAACATGAGTCTGACAACTAAGTAAGTAGATAAAAAACTTTAATACATGCTCTGATAGGCCGGGATCGGCATCGGATCGGAAGTGAAAAAATCTGGATCGGGACATCCCTAGTCCAGAGATTCAAAAGTATCTTAACCCTATAATGCCAAATGTATCATATTTGATACGGTTTCTGAAATGTTTTGCGTCTGACACCTTTTGCATAATTTAATGGTAAAAACTTTGCTCAAAATCCTATTGTACACAATCAGATACACCTGATAACAGGGGGCAGAAGACTACACAAAAGATAATCTTCACTTATCGAATAGTAATAAATTATTAATATCAAATTAATATTTCTCTTGACATATTTTGTTAAAAGGCCAAAGAAGGAATTCAAACCAAAAAAAAGTAATTCTCAGTTTTGTTTTATTCTTGGATGAGGCTTTAAAGGGTTAAACTTGTGTGAAATGTAAATGAAAACCCATGTAATCCACATATTTGGATCTCTGAGAATCCTTCTGGGATTCAGCCCCCATCTGGTTGATAAATAGAAAGGCTTTGGGTTAGAAAGCGCTGGATCGGGACATCCCTAGTCAGTTTCCCTAGCCATTTCTTAAATGTGGTGTTGGAGGTAGAGCGTGAGTCTTTATTCAAAGTAAAATATTAAAATTGAAAGATATTGTTTATACAAAAATACTGGAAATAATGTATAAAGCATTGAATAAAAGTCTTCCTCCTGGTATTCAGAAATTATTTAAGTTAAGAGAAAATAAATATAATTTGCGAGGTTTGTTTATATTTGAATGTGCAAAAAAGAGAAAAGTCAGATAAAGTCTAGACGTGTTTCAGTTATTGGTGTGAAACTGTGGAATGAATTGAATGATGAATTTAAGTTATGTCCTTTCTTGGTGAACTTTAAAAGAGCTTTAAAATGTAAAATGATAAAATCTTACGCTCTTATGTAGATCTATATACGTACTATGCACTCGAATCTGAATTTGAAGAAATCCTGGTAGGTTGTAAGGTAAAAAAAAAATAGGGTAGGCACGAATAAGCTTGGCTTCGGCCTATTCCTTTTTTGGTAAACTGTGGGTTTGTCCATTGTTTTTTTTCTTTTTTTCTTTTGTTGTTTCTTGTGTTTAATGTGGACAATTGACCAAAATGAAGTGATTGATTGATTGATAGTGTGGAGGTGTGAGCACCTCGTCCCGCAGAGAAACGTTGTCCTGGTTCAGGGAGTCGATCTGCCCCCGTAGGCGGGTCTGTGTGGAGGCCCAGCGGCTCTCCCTCCTCCTCAGCTCCTCCTGCAGGGAGCCCAGCTGCTGCTTCAGCGCCTGGAGGGAGGAAACACGATCAGATTCAGCCTTTCTGACCGTCACAACGAGCTTCTGAAGCTTTCCGAGTGGAGGAAGGAGCCCCGAAAGCCGCCGGATTACGGAGCAGATTCACACAAAAAGGCTGCTCAGCCCTGAATTTTCCCAAAGAGGGGGTTATTCCGGATAGTTTCATCCCTTTCCTGGCTTTGCTGTTGGTAGAATTAGGCTATAATTACTCATTTTAGCATTGTATGCTATCACGTGATCGATGTAAATTACTGAGTGTTTTATTTTCTTATAGAACTACATTTTGTGTTAAAGTTAAAGTCTCTGGTTGTGTCCACAGACTCTCTCCTCTCTTTTCTTTTCTCTCCTGGCTTTGCTGTTGTTAGAATTTGGCTATAATTACTCATTTTAGCATTGTATGCTATCACATGATCTATGTAAATTACTGATTGTCTTATTTTCTTTTATAACTATATTTTGTGTTAAAGTCTTTTCTCTCTTTTTCTTCCTCTGTTGCATTAGATCCACCTTTAGGTCAACACACACACACACACCATTTGTTACCACATTCCAGTGTCATCTGCATGAATTAGGACCTGGCCTGTTCCTGCCCAGAGGTAACTGGCCAATAGGACTTGATTGTGTCCAGTCCTCCTTTGAGGAGGCGGATCGAGCCCAGGAGATAATGCCCATCACCCAGATCTCAGGGCTCTTTGCCCACTGAGACCCAGAGAGAGGTTTTTGTCTGTTAGAGCCCAGACAATAAATGGAATTTTTTATAATTTTGATCCACTCTCGTTTATTCTCAGGTTTCAAACTAAAGAATCGGGCTAACACTGTGAACAGTAAGCAAACATGGAGGTGACTTGGCTTGACTGGGGGATTATGGGTAAACTGTGCTGTCTCCAGGCAGCAGCTGTTAGACGGTTTAACCCGTTTTTTAACTTTTTAACTTTAAAAACTGACCTGACGGGAGCAGACTCGCTATAAAAAAATCATATCTAAAATCATATTACAGCTCCATAGACAGCTGGCTGCATTAGGGATGGAGGAGGCGTTTCTGAGGACCTGGATCTCGTCGCGTTCCTTCTTGTCGGGGATGGCTCGGGCGGCCGTCGCGTGCCTCTCAAAAAGTTTGCGCTCCCTCTGAAGCTTCCTGGTCTCCTCCCTCTTGTATTCCTCAAACTTGGCCAGCTCCTCTTTCTTTGTCTGTTCAAATTGAAAACGCTCTTTCCTACGAGACAGATGAGAAAAAGTCATCAAACATTTATTTGACCTTCTTTTATCACATGTGGTCAAATAAACCTCAGTTTTTATGAATTCTAGCTGTTTCTTGTGGAAAAAAGCAGATATTATGAATTATTTTCACTCCAAAGCTTATCAGGATGGACATGTATAAGCTTTTGCTTCTTCCATCCCCTTTTCAAGCCATGCATATGTATTGTTTGTCATTATATGTATTGTAAAATGTGTGCAGGTTTGAAATTAACTTTTTGAAACAACAACAAAAAACTCCTGTTTTCTGAAGCAGGAAATGTAAAATGATCCCCCAGTTCTGTGTTCCAGCTTTCAGCCGGATTTTTCCAACACATTAGCACAGTTGAGTGGGAAAAACGGAACAAATTCTGAAATACAAGTGTGAAAGCACCTATATTAGATGGTAAAAACTGACCCAGAGGGGGGCCTGGATCACTGGACTGTGAGTTTTAAACCCGGTCAGAAGCAGCACATCACCTGAGGTCCTCCTGGATTTTCTCGTTTTCTTGTCTGAGTTTGGCGAGTGAGGCGTTTTCCTTCTTAAATCTCTGGATCTCGATCTCCAGCTCTGCCAGCCTCTCTCTGAGCTGAGCGGACTGAGGCTGCTGGCCTGAGGGGGAGACTGCAGAGGGAAAGGTGCGTTAGCTCCGCCATTTTGACCGGAAATGCCTGTAAACCGACCTCCTTCAGGGTCTAATGGACGGAATTATCAGAATCAGAATCAGAAATACTTTAATAATCCCAGAGGGAAATTATTTTTGTTACAGGCTCCATAAGTAAAACAAAGGCATATACATATATACATGTCTGTACATATGTACATATATATATATACAAAATTCCTCATATAATATAGCTAGATATTTACATTAAAAAAAATAAAAAATAAAAAAATTACAGGAAAGACGTGCGAAAAACGAAAGGAAAATGAGCCAAACCTGTCTGGTCTTTTGGCCTCTTGCTCTCGGGGTTGGCGGTGGGAGGAGGGGGGGGG